TTTTTTTTTGTTACTCTGAGAAATGCAGCTAGAGACTTACGATTTGAATGGAGGTGGATTTGTCGGAGTCCTGACACAAGGAATTGGTCTTGGTGAGAGCATTTGCACCAAGACAAACTCCTTGTGTGTCCAGTCACACTTGGCCAATAAAGGATTTAGTTCAGTTCAGTCAGTTCAAGAAGCTTCTTCAGTTTAATTCATTCCAGCGCGGATGAAGTTACCTAGTTGGGTCATGAAACGTCTGCAAGAAAACCAGTCTTGCCGGAAGGAGTTCCTCTGGCAGGGCTGGGACCAGCTGCCCTCTTCCTGCTGCTCGGGCAGCTTTGCTCAGAGCAGCAGCCCCCCCCCCCCCCCCCAGCAGCCTGCCTGAAGCCAGAGAGACCCCTCCCTCACCGAGGCTCTTTCCTCCCGCAGTTCGACCTCTCCAAATGCCACTACCTGGTGGATCTGGACAGCCCCGACGAAGCTCCCCGGGAGCCCAGGTACGCGGCTAACAAGGAGGAGTGGATCACGATCGCTTACAAGCCTTTCCTGGATAGCTTAAGGTGAGAGAGCACGAGGGCCAGGCTGGCCCGGGAAAACCCTCGGGCTCCTGGTGGGTGGAAACGCGCCTCGGACGCCAGCTTGGGCGATGGGGCGGGTGTCACGTCAGGCCAGCCGCCATCTTGCAGCCAAGAAGGGTTGGGTCTCCCAGCAAGAGATCCGGCCCTGTGGGTCATCAGCACGCCAGCCTTTCTCCTCACCCCACCCCCTTGCCAAATGAGATTCGGGGTGGGGGAGGGGGGTGCTGGAGTTCGCCCAGGGGTTGGGCTACAAAAATTTCAGCAACCGGTTCTCTGGTGGGCGTGGCCTAGTTGGCCTCCTGCACCACAGCCCTCCCCAGAGTCCGGAGGCCTTTCTCGAGACTCCGAGAGGGAGGAAACAGCCTTCCCTGTTTCCTGCCTCCATGTGGGCGCTGCACTTACCTGGCATCCAAAATGGGCTGCGTGGGGACCTCAGGGAGGGGAGGGGTGGACAGGGCCAGCCAGGGGTGGGATTTACGGCGGAAGTCTCCAAACCCCGCAACTTTTAAGACCTGTGGACTTCAACTCCCAGAATTCCTCAGCCAGAATTCCAGATCAGTTTATATTTAGAGTTTGGTCTGCTGAAATCAATTGACCAAAGGGCTGTAAAAATTCCACTGAAATGGGTTTTTAAGGATGTTTACCTCGCATCCCGAAACCCAATTGCCCAACTTGCGATATTGGTCTCTTCAGAAACGAGACTTAAAACAGTAGAAACGATCTAAAATGGACAAAGTTCAGGATTTGATTGGGTGGATGAAATAATCCACGTAGTGGAATTTGACGCCACGGTGACGAACCTGGTTTAATATTATGAAGGTCCACTAATGCAGAGGTCTCCAAACTTGGCCACTTGGAAGACTTGTGGACTTCGGAGCTGGCTGGAGAATTCTGGGACTTGAAGTCCACACGTCTTAAGGTTGCCAAGTTTGGGGACCCCGGATTTACGGGTTCGCCGAACTGCACAGATTCTTAGCTGGAGAATCAAACCGAAACCCGTGTGAACCCGTAACCACCCAGTCACCCCTGAGTTCGCCCCATCCCATCCCTTCTCATCTAGGTCAGGGGTTGGACTAGAAGACCTCCAAGGTCCCTCCTAACCCAGTGAATCTATGGATTTACATCCATCTTTGGTCACCTTTTCCCCCTTGCTGGGGGTGGGTGGGGAGGGAATAGAGGGAGTGCTGTCACGGCTTCTCTCTAATTGCTGGATGAGGGGGTGGAGAAGGGAAGAGGCAGGGTGAGAATTCCCCTGGGGAGAGAGACCAGCGGGAGGGAGGTTGGGAACAGCCGGTCAAATATCTCCCCCCCCCCCCCCCCCCCTTCCCCCGGGAAATCCATCGTAAGGCAGTTGCCTCTTCTGTCCTTGGTTCACAGGGGCCGGTGGCATTTCTCAG